ACTTCCCTACTTCGAAAAGCGTTATTTAGACGCTAGGCGCTAAGAACTTTGACACGCTCCACCTGCTGCGACACGCTCCGCCCACCGCTCGATATCTTGTCTGCGTCGCTATGTTGATCTGCTATGCTCTCTCTACTCGTACTTCTCTAGCGCTCTCCGCGCTCACATTATCTCTCATCTCCCTGCCGGCCTTTTGAACTTCTCCGCAGCGTAGAGCAAAAGGCTCGTATTTCCTGTGTATTTCACGATTTTTTTCCTTTTTTCTCCACTGGCGGTCCACTCCTACCCCTACTTTCACATTTGAGTGGAATTACCTCATAATTTAATCCTGAATCTTGCCTTTAAGTTCTCCTCGCGATGCCAGTTCTCTTCAGAAATGGCCTAAAGAATGGTCTAATTTTTGTATCAGCAGTGACAGGGATTACAAGCATATTATCCCACTTTTCCAGTGTTCTACTAGTGGTCCGCTAGCCAAATGTTGCTTCATTATTTCACCATTCTCTTTCAGGCCGCATTGAAAGCTGAATGGAACCGTGGTCAACGTAGTGTTTTGCGGCTTGAAGCGATGGTTGTTTGTTTTTGTTATTGTAAATGTTCGTCTGCAGTAATATACAAAGTCTTAGATTCTGCGACGTCTCGAAGGAAAATCTCATTTTGCACAGCTTCTTCAAACCGGCAAGAAGACTACGTACTCGTACATTGTGATGACATTGTTAGGAGAAAGTTTGGACAACATTTTGAAGTGGGTTTTCACACCATTTTGTGTTGGAAGCCGAAAATTCACCAGTGTGTAGGATAAGGGTCGCTCCTAGATGTCGTCTCCTTGCCATCAATTCGAAACCCAAAACGGACGCGTACGCCATTGTTTCGGGCGTACTTGATAGTGTTTAAAATTGGTGCTTCTATCATCCCAGGGCTCCTCAGTTAGTGACAGAAAGTGCAGCTACTTCCTTCAAGGTCACAGGGTAGGCTCTCACTGGAGTATTAATACTGCCCTACGACTGCAGTACCTTACTTATTGTTAGCCTGTATTTCCGCTCCTTCACCTTCATCAGAGCTGAACTTGAATCACTCGAGATCGATTCCCACATGAGCCTGACTAACCAGAAGCAAAAGTTCGTTAATTTCATGATCAAGGTCAACTGTCGCGTTCGCAAAATCAACTATGTATTGTAATCTGGTAGCGAGGGATATTTTACTCGATTGCTTCTTTGCTGACTGAAACGAGGTATGGGAGGCTACGTGTAGCTGCTTTTCGAGCACGAGTCACGATCAGAGGATCAAATCCTATATATTGACTAAGTCAACCAAGCCTTTCGTCTGTGCAAGGCCGGTCGATCGCACCAAACTTTTCTGAGAGTATGAACACACTGGAATGCGTACTGACGTTCCCGCAGGCCATTGTATAGCAAAAATCGCATTCAATTCACTACTTCGATCGGATGTGAAACGTAGGATGTTACATGGCCACACTTAAAAAGATTGTTGCAGCAAGGCTTTCTCCTTCTATCATTTTGTAGTGATAGTGAGCAACTAACTCTCTATTGAAGGAGCCGTGTTGGTAATGCACCGATTTGAATTGTCATGAGAAGTTCGAGTTTGCAGTATAAGTAACCATCCTGACAGTCGAACCTGAGAACACGACGCTGAAGACTTTACAGGCATCTTAAATTTCTGCAGGAGATCCTAAAGTGATCCCAGAGTAGGCTGTTGTAGCCCGTGGCCTCGTGCCCCTCTTTGAGCACTGTAGGTTTTGGTCTGCATGAGCCTAGGGACCTAGAGGATATTATGGTAAAGTGACCACGATCTGTTCCTGACTGCTCAATAATAGAAGCTATTTGATTCCTGGAGTGAAGCCAGGTAACGCTCTTCAATCAGCCAATCATCGACATCGACTGGCGGCTCTTGACACTACTCGGTTGTACCCAACTCTGGAAGGCAAAGAAGTTCAAACTAGCAAAGTGAACCTGGGCGAAGTATACGTACACTTCAAGTTCAAAGACAAGTCTAAGTTTATATTGCTTATTAGAAGGTTTCTTAATCAGTATTGTTTGTTTGTGAATCCAGAACGCAAATATGACACCCATATCGAGCTATCAGGCACATTCCATCGTAAAGGATGCACGCTTCCAACGTTGTTATAGGCAAGGCCCTATATCAAATTGGTGTGGAGATCCCACTCTATCGTGAAAGTAGGAATGCAAAGTGGACCGCAAGCGGAGAAACAAGGAAAATAAATCGTCGAAAACATCACAGATGGGAAACCCTTTGCTCTACGCTGCGGAGAAGTCTGGGAAGCAGATAGTGAAAATGGAGGCAATGAGAGTCGCGAAGAGGGAAAAGAAGTTTGAATTGACAGTGAACAGCAGGTCAACATTGCGACACAGAGATGACATCAAACGGTAGGCAGGACGGACCATTCTGCGTAGGCCGATCCGGGTGTTGAGCTCCTAGCGTTTTATTTACGCGCTCAGAGGCGCGAAAGTGGCGCGACCATTGGCAAATCCTGCACTCTATCCAGGATCAACCGTCGTGTTCGCACCTTTACGAAAATTCTTCGACCCTACCACCACCATCAGGTTCCCCCAAATGTGACACCCCTCTTCTCTACTTCAAACACCACCCTCACCGTCAAGGCTCTTTCTAAAGCAATTCATTCTGACAATGAGTCCCGTAGAGACGCTAACGCCACCACTCCGCCCACTTTCCCTTCCTACACGGCCGTCGAGCGGGGGGAGGAAGGAGTTAAATTGGTATATAGCGGCAAATCCACTACTCGTCTATCCTACATCGCCTTCGCCAAACTCGTAGGAAAGCCTGAGTAAACCCATCAAATACAACCGTTTTTACGACCCCCGTTCACACTTTTCCCAGTCCAGAGGTAGTTAACCTTCCTCAACCCTGAAATGCGATTCCCTTCCTAAAATTACAAGGGCGACCCTCTGGTGATTAGCACGAACGAACGGTTGTTCCTGCCTCTATCCATGGGAAGGACTTCTTATACAAGTTCGAACCCGGATCCTGTCTTCGGTTTACCGTTACGATTGAGGGCGAGTGCATGAACATTCTTGAGGTCCAATTAATGAAGAGCTCACTGGTGTTTGGTAGTTTCAGAAAGGTTGGAAGAATCTGCACAATATCAACACAAATAAGGATAGGAATAAACACGCTTTATGAAATAAAGCAACTTCATGACGTGAGCGCAAGTACAAAGCATTAGTCAAAATATGTAGATACCGTCCAAGAATTCTCTTTAACAGGTCGGGTTCATACATCGAGACCTCAAGCCGGGAAATATGGCACTTGGCTCTTATGGAACCCCACAGCGCAGGTTCATTCACATCTTCGATTTCGGACTAGCAAGGGAGTACATCATGGTGGATAGAGATGGTCGGACGAAAATGCGGAGGCCACGACCAAGAGCTCACTTCAGGTAAGCCAACAACTACATTAGCACTAACTATATGCAAACCAGTCGACGCTACTAAAGCAGAAAGTGTGCGGATATAATGCAGAAGCCGGCAGTGCTACCTACTGAAGGCTTACCTCAATTCTCGTCATTTCTCTAGCGTAAATAAACAAGGAACACGAAACGAGGATTCCACGATAAGGACGGAGCCCGAAGAAACGGAAAC